CCACCCTGCCCCCCGCCACCACCCCAGTATGCTGGGATCACGAGTGCATGCCGCCACCCCCAGGTCCTCAGGCTTGCACAGCAAGCACTTTACTGACTGAACTTCTTCCCCAGCCCCACTTTTTACTTTTTATTTTGCAACAGGGGCTCTCTGACTTTCCCTAACTGGCCTTGAACTTGAAATCCTCCTGCCTCAGCCTCCAAATAGCTGAGATTACAAGTCTGTGCCACCACACCTGGCCACTTAAGGATTTTGTTAACTTTTTTTTTTTTTTTTTTGAGATATGGTCTCACCATGTAGATGGGGCTAGCCTCAAACTCACAGATCCATCTGCCTCTGCCTCCTGAATGCTGGCATTAAAGGTGTGCACCATCATGCTGGCTCACTTTTTTTTTACAGTACCAGGGATGAAACCCTTGTGCATGCTAAGCAAGTGCTCTACTGCTGACCCACATCCCCAGCCCAGTAAGCGGTCTCTTACTCCCACATCAAGAATTGTCCAAAACCCCCTCCCACCTTCATGAGTAGTTAAATCAACTGAACTCTCACCCTAAAATGCAAAGACTGGTAATTACCCTCTCCATGTTATAACCAAGGACCTGAGGCACAGACAGGGAGAGCCAGTCACCACGGTCACACACATTGAGGTTCAAGTAAAGCATTTTCTATGCATCATCTCAAACACTGGCTGTGGAAATGATTGTTCTTCCTTAAGCTTACTTATAATGTAAACAAGCTCACTGAGCCAGGTGCTCCTCCAGTTACCCTTAACCTCTCAGGACCCCATTTTGCCTTCCCAAGATAGTGTATGAACGTAGTTGTGTATGTTTTACATATCATTGTGCTGCAAGCAACTGCTTTTCTCACTGCAAACAATGAAAGAAATTGAGGACCATCTGTTTATAGTTGTGTGTGTGATATTCTAGGTCTAGGGAATCAAAGGACAATATTCTGATAACATAAAGGTGTATCTGACTTTTACTTCCCATTTCATGCTGAATATACTGTTTTAATAAAAGGGTAAGTGGGGCTGGAGAGATGACTCAGTTAAGAGCACTGGTTGCTTTTGCAGAGGAACCTGGGTTCAGTTCCCAGCACCCACATGGTGGCTAACAACCATCAGTAACTTCAGTTCCAGGAGATCTGATGCCCTTTTCTAGCCTACACACACACTGCATGCACATGATGTACCAACATCCATGTAAACAAAACGCTCATACACATAAAATAAAAATAAATAAATTTTAAAATAAATCAAAAAGATTTCTAAATAAATAAAAGAATAAATGATGCCTGGCTCAGGAGCACAATTCCAAGAGAAATCTGAAGGAATAGGTTCTTGGCAACTCAAGTCTGCTTTTGGCCTTCAAATGCATGCTAAGAGTCAGGCTGTTTCTTTATTAAGGCATAACCACAATGTAGTGCCAGTGCAATTCTGTGCACTAGGAATTATTCGTATCTCATTCCACAGTAGGAGAAACCAGTACAGAAAGAGCAGTTTACTTCCCTGAAGCCACACAATGCATCTGGAGTCACACCAGCATGGTGATCCTCCATATGCACCTCTAACCATTAGGCGACCCTGCCCATACTCTGTCTTCTACAGACAATGATGAGTGCTTGGCCCAGCCTGGCCCATGTGGCATCCGTGGACAATGCCACAACACCCCAGGCAGCTTCCAGTGCGAGTGTGATCTATGCTTCATCCTGGACAGTTCTGGCCACAGCTGTAAAGGTGAAGTGGGACTTGGGTGGGGTCTGAGTTTGGAGGATGGTCCTGAGGACCACCTACCAAGCCTCTCTCCCTCTTTATCTTTCTCTTTCTATGTCTCAGACATAAATGAATGTAATGAGCCCCATTGCTGCCAACATGGCTGTCAGAACGAGCTGGGAGGCTATCGTTGTAGCTGCCCCCAGGGCTTCACCCAGCATTCCTAGTGGACCCAGTGTGTGGGTGAGTGGCAAGGGTTAGAAGGAAGTCAGCTCCCACCAGAATCTTCCCAGAGCAGGCAAGTAGGAGCCACCTCCCTCCATATGTTGTGACAAGCTGCCCATTCCAAAAATCAAATCAGGGATTGAGGGTGGAGAGCTGGCTTGGTGGTTAAGAGCACTGGTAGCTCTTGCAGAGGATTCAGCTTTAGATCCCAGCACCCACATGGTAGCTAACAATCATTCAGTGATTTCAGTTACTGAAGGTTTGACACCTTCTGCTGGCCTCCATGCCATGAAAGTGCATGCATAGGTGCACTTTCATGCAGGCAAAACACTCATATACATATAAACTGAAAATAAGTAAAATATTTTTTAAAACCCAAATGGGCCAGCCAGGTTGGTCCCTCAAAAGTCATTGGACAGATAAACAAGCATGGGCATAGTGCTTAAATCCATTCATTACACAGTGGAGGCCCAGTTACTAGGGAAGAATACAGCACCAAGAAGGCTGATATTGATTAACAATGTCTGCCAAGGGTGCAAAAGGAAGAATGCTGTGATTGATTAGCATTGTCTGCCATGGGCATAGAAAAAAGAAAAAGTACCTGCGATTGATAAGCAATGTCTGCCATAGATGGACATAGCAGAAAGAATTATCAATGTCTGCCACAGATGCAGTAAAAAGAGTGGTTTGTGGCTGGTTAGTGATGTCTGCAGTGAATGGGCACAGCAGGAAAAAAAAACTGTGATTGATTAGCAATGTCTGCCGTGGGTGTAATAGAAAGAATTAGTGATGTCTGCTATAGATGTAATGAAAAGAATGGTTTGGTTGATTAGCAATGTCTGCTACCAGTGCAGCAGAAAAAAATAATGCTTTCATTGATTAGCAATGTCTGCCATGAAGGAATTAGTTTGGCAATGTCTGCCATAGATGCATTGGAAAGAATGATGTGGTTGATTAGTGATGTCTGCCATGGGCACAGCAATGAGCCTTTAACACATGTGTGCTGCATCTTTGTCATACCTATTTCAGAGGCTCCCATGTTAAAAGCTTGCCTCCTGCATCACAATCCTCCCCATATATTTGCTGCCCCAAGCTCTCATATTGAATAGCCTCATCTTCATCACTTCTCTGTGTTTCTCCCCTAACCTAGCTTTCACCTTCTGTTTTTGTGGGTCCCACTCACTCTCCTGAGACCTGTCACCTAACTTCACAACTCTCATAGGCTTGGCAGCAGAGGCTGGGACGAGTGAGGGAACATAATAGGCTCCGGGGAGAGGGAGGTGGAGATGTGGAGGAAGGAAGATATAGTCTGAGAGCTCCTAGTGAGCTTACTGGAGGCTTTGTGCACAGTAAAAAGTACTTTGATTGATTACTACTGTCTGCCGTAAGTGCAGCACAGTGCAATGTATATTCCAGATGGAAGGATCCAGGAATATAAGACTTCCTCCATCCCATCCCTCCTCTCTTTCCTCCCCACAGATGAGAATGAGTGTGCATTGTCACCCATGGCCTGTGGCAGTGCTTCTTGCCACAACACACCTGGTGGCCTCCACTGTGTCTGCCCCTCTGGCTTCAACTTCAACCAGGCCTTCAGAGGCTGCCAGGATGTGGATGAGTGTGCCAAGCAAGGTAACCCCTGCAGCTATGGTTGTGCCAACATGCCTGGAGGCTTCTTGTGTGGCTGTCCCCCAAGGCTACTTCTGAGTTGGGCAAGGGTAAGAGCTCTAGTGGAGTAGGCAAGGATGGAAGGGCACATACTGTGTGCCTTGATCATGCATGCTGGGCTCATAAACACATACCAGAATTTCTGAGAATTCACCAGAAAAGCTCCCTCTGTGTGTACATGTGTGTGTGTGTGTGTGCGTGTGTGCGTGTGTGTGTACAATTATCCCAGTGACACGCAGGCTGTGTGCACCCACAACTCAGAACAATCAATGGCCAGTGATACATCCTTGTTTTTACACATGAGGAAGCACACGTGAACACTGTGTGTGTGTGTGTGTGTGTGTGTGTGTGCTGACTTGCACCATACAGTCATCCTCAGTATCCATGGAAGATCCGCACCCAGACACTGTTGTTCCTGGTGCCAATGTCAGCAAAGGTCTACTCACCCCAAATAAGGAGCAGTTGACAAAGCATAACGAGTCAAATTTGGTGTGTGTACCAAGGAGTTTACTTAAGGAGCAAGGGTGACTCAGGGACAGCTGGATCACTGAAGACCAGCTGGGTAATGACTCACCAAGTCTGGAAACCTGGAGCTCACTGCGTGACTTGCAGGCAGCTTGACAGATTGGAGAGTCTCGTCTTCTCAGCACTCTTCATTGCTTATAAAACGGGGGAGGCTGAATCTTGTAAGCTTCAGGGACTTCCTGAAACTCGTGAGTTGTTCACTTTTTATTATTTTATGTGTTTGTATGTATGTGTGGTTGAGTAGCTGAGTGCATGCTGGACCCCTGGAACCAGAGTTACAGGTGATTGTTAGCCATCATGCTGGGACTTGAACCTGGGTGCGCTGTAAGAGCAGCCAGTGGTCTGAACTATTCAATTGACTCTCCAGAGACCCCCTTTTGTTTACTTTCTGAGTCCTAAGGAACCTCACTTTAAACTTACTGAGTACTGAGTTGGCCATTATGGTGGCACACACCTTTAATCCCAGCGCTCAGAGCAGGTGGATCTCTGAGCTTTCATGTCCTCCCTGGTCTCCATAGCAAGTTGTGGGTCAGCCAAAGCTACTTAGTGGGACCCGTCTCAAAATAAAAACAACGACAACAAAAACAACTTCTTGAGCTGTAGGGAGCTTCCCTTCATGTTGGAATACCTGTAATACCATGGATACCCAAAATCCAAGACTGTTCAAATCCCCTATGTAAAATGACAAAGTATTTGCATAGACGTGTGCACACCCTCCCATATACTCAAAATCTGCTCTGCCTGGGAATGTTGTTCAGTGGGTAGAATGCTTTCCAGCATGCATGAGACCCCATGTTCCATTGCCAGTACATCATAAATGGGGCGGGGGGGGGTGCATACCTGTATGCCAGCACTTGGAAGGTGAGGCAGGAGGATCAGGAGTTCAAGACCATCCTCTGCTACATAGTGAGTCTGAGGCCAACCTGGGCTACATGAGACCCTGTCTCAAAAACAAATCCAGTAGGGCTGAAGACATTGACTCCGCAATTAAGAGCACTGGCTGCTCTTGAAGAAGACCCAGGTTCGGTTTTCAGCACCCACATTGGTGGCTAACAACCATTCATAACTCCAGTTCCAGGGCATCCAATGTCCTCTATGGACGTTGCATACACATAGTGCACTTACACACACACAGGAAAAGCACTCATACACATAAAATTTTATTTAAAAATCCCAGCATAGTGGCACACACCCCTTAATCACAGCACTTGGAAAGCAGAGGCAAGGCAGATCTCTATGAGCTCAAGACCAGCCTGGTGGACATAGAGAGTTTCGGGACAGCCAAGGCTACATAGTAATACCCTGTGTCAAAATAATAAAATATAATAGTAAGTAAATATCTCTACATGAGTTATAACACCTGATACAAAGTAAACCCAGGGTAATTGTTGCACTGCTTTGTTTAGGGAATATTGTTACTCTGTGTTGTTTAGGGAATACTGACATGGAAAGAAGCTTCTATGTGTTCAGTAGGGAGGTAACCAAGATAGTTCTAACTAGTATTACATACCAGAAGCATTGTAATATCTTCAGTCTTTGACTAACCAGTTAAATATGAAGATGTGGAATCTGTGGCTGCAGAGGGTTGACTGTGCATACGGAGGGCTGACTGTACTCACAACACAAACACACCAGTGGGCAAATGTGTATGTGCACACCATCTTCCATGTATGCACACAGGCATACATGTGTACACCCCTGGGTCCACAAGGGTACATTCATCTGTTCCATTGCATGCATGTCATCCTATTCTTGTGTTCACACTGATGCCCAGGTATATCAAAGGACACATACACACATGCCTCATGTAGGCATACATTGATATATATACACACACAGTCATGCCAGCACATGCATGCACACATTCATTTTCACAACAGCCTCTGTGCCTGTGTCTTAGAATGAGGGTGCAAGGAATGATGGGAGATGGTTGGGGAGGTGCCATCAGACTGCCCCTGAAAGCTACCCCCACACCGTCTGGCTCAGGCACTGCATCTCTGGCCTCAACTTCGGCCCTGGCTCTCCAGACACCCCAGAGGAGGAGAAGCTGTTCTCACCTGAAGCCTGCTATGAATGCAGGATCATTGGCCTCCCCCCTCAGGACCGAGCACAACACAGCATCCATGGGAGCTACCAGGTGCCAGGGGGACTGCGCTGGGTAGGGCAACCAGGGGGCTATCTGAGGGTGGGAAGGAAGCTGTGGTCCCTCAAGAAAGAATACTAGCTAGGGAAGGTAGCTCAGTTGGGAAAGTACTTGCCTAGCATGCATGAGATCCCAAGCACCCATAAAATGAGCATCATCCTCTGCTACATAGTGAATTCAAGGTCAGTCTGGGCTACATGAGTCTTTGTTATGGAAATAAAAAGGAGAGAGAGGGGAAAAGAGGAGAGAGAGAGAGTAGGGAGAGAGAATCCTTAGACTGCATGTTGCAACTTATCCCACACATCATAGTGCCTGCCCAAGTCTTTCCATTTCCGTTGTATTTTTCTTGGGGACTCTCTAGGGGCACAGCTTCTGGCTTTTTGTTACTTCAATTAAGGCACCTTCTATACCTACCCTGGCCAAGCCTTGGTTACCATATAAGGGTCTTGATCAGGTTCCTTTCTTTCACCAACAAAAGAATTAAAAGGTGGAAGTAAAGAAACACATACATACACACACTCATACAGAGAGAAAAGCTCTCCACAAGTGGAGAGAGGATTCAGAAACCACAAAATCCAATGCCCCCAAGAGGGCTTGGGCTTTACTAAGTGTTTTTGGTGGTATGGGGCAGGTTCCCCTATCCTGGTTTTGGATTGGTCAACTTAATCAAAGAAGAGAGAGCCCATAGGTCAAAGTTCCAAGCTGAAATATGTCCAGAACTGGTCTTGGTCTTACCTAAATTGGTCAGGACTAGTCAGCCAGAAAAGGAGCCCTACCTTGCCAGTGAGAGAAGAAGCCTTCAAGCCTTTCTCTCAGGTGGAAAAAGAAAGTTCCTTTGTTTCTTCCTCTGCCTATCTGCCTATCAGGTATTTAGTCCCTCACTTTGGAGTACCAAGTGAACAGAAAAACAAATGTCCCTTCCTTCCTGAGACTAGTATTCTTGTGGGGTCAGGGAAGACAAGACATCAGCAAAATACAGGATGATTTTGTTTTAATTTTTTTTATTTTATATGTCTGAGTGTTTTGCCTACATGGATAAGTGTAACACGTGTGTGTAATGCCTGTGGAGTGTGGAGACCAGAAGAGGGCACTGAATCCTCTGGAACTGGAGTTAAGGACGGTTGTTAGCTACCATGTGGGTGTGGGAACTGAACCCAGATCTTCTGTGCTCTTAACCACTGAGCAATCTCTCCAGTCCCTAAAATACAACATGTTTTATAACATATGATAAATATGATCCATGTTACAGTGAGAAACAAATCCAGGATGGGCATGCTAGATTTAGAGACCTTCAGTATGTGATTAACTAAGTGTGAATGCATTCGTTCACCTTATTTTTGCTTCAATTGTTTTTCTTCCCCTTGCTCAGAAAAAGTTTCACTATATAAATTATCTCATAGTTAACTGTCATTTGCTACTGTATTGCTAGCCCTTGGTTTTCTTCTCTTTTTCTTTTCTTTATTTGCTTATTTATTATTTATGTGTATGAGTGTTTTGCCTGCACCAATGTAAATGTACCCCATGTATGCAATACCCATGGAGGCTAGAAGACAGTATCAGAACTCTTAAAACTGGAGTTGTTAGCGGTCAGGTGGGTGCTGGGAACCAAACCAGGGTCCTCTACAAGAGCAGCCACTTGCTCTTAATAACCATTAAGCCATCTCTCCAGCCCCAGCCTTTGGTTTTCTATGAGAGTTGAATGGTTGTTGGGGATCCTGGACGCAGTGAGTTGTGGACAGGGATACTCAGTGTGCATTTTCCTGCAATACCCACTGTGTGACAGCAGGTGGCAGTAAGAGCATAGGTCTGAGCCATGCTCCTCAGAAAGGAGGAGTTTCCCAGTACCAGAGACTGGGAGATAAAAAGTTTTCCCTTGAATGCAGCAGCAGGTCACTGCACAAGCATGTAAATGAGGTGGAACAGACAGAGCACAGCACACAACAAAGAAAGAAGTAAACACAGATAAACTTCTGTGGAATCAGATACATCACCCAGCCTGGGATGGCCTTCTATTGAGACCCATCGGCTTATTGAAGGCGCTGTCGAGCTGCCAGGACCAGGAAATCTCTTCAGAGCTCAAATAAAGGAGAGCTTGTCATGTGTACACAGGGGCCTCTCAAAGAGAGCCAGATAGAGGAAGTACAGCGGAAGCCAGCGGAAGGCTCTTCTGAGACCTGCCTTGCTCGTTTTCTGTCCCAGCTGGGTGTCCTGTTTGGGTCTCTGTCCATTCTGGCATCCTCTGGGGGAGATAGTTTGTTTTACAATTACAATACCAGTCGCCTGGGCTGCCTCTAGCCACCTCTGGGTTCTGGAACCTGGTGCTATCTGCCTGACCTGCTAGCTGGGTCTTCCAGGCAAGTCTTTGATCCCCTAACAGCTACGTTTTGGTTTTTGTTTGTTTTGTTTTTCTTTGGTGGGGAGTGAGTGTGTGTGTGTGTATGTGTGTGTGTGTGTGTGTGTGTGTGTGTACATGTGAAAATCAGAGGTCAGTATCAGTGTCTTTCTCAATTGCTCACCATCTTTGAGGGGGCTGGTTTGGTTTTCTTTTGTTTTGCATTTTGAGATAGGGTCTCCCTGTAGACCACGCTGGCCTTAAACTCACAGAGATTGGCCTGCCTCTGCCTCCTGAGTTCTGAGATTAAAAGCATGTGCCACTATGCCTGGCTGACATTATTATTATTATTATTATTATTATTATTATTATTATTATTGTCATATACTTTGTGTGTGTGTGTGTCTTACATGTAGAGGTCAGCATTGGTATCTTTCTCAATTGCTCTCTCTCTCTATTATTATGCACTTATTTGTTTTGTGTGTGTGTATACATGATCATGTGGAGGTCAGTCAACTTGCTGGAATTGGTTCTCTCCTTCCACCATGTGGGTCTAAGGGATCAAACTCAATCATTCAGGCTTGATGGTAAGTACCTTTACCTGCTGAGCCATCTCATAGTCCCAGCTCTGCCTTATTATTTTTTTCTCAGATTTTTAGATTTATTTTTATTTTATTTTATTTTATGTGTACAAGTGTTTTACCTGCATGTATGTAGGTGCACCACATATATCTTGGTGGCTGAGGTGGTCAAAAGAGGCATCAGAGCCCCTGGAACTGGAGTTACAGGTAATTGTTAGCTGCCATGTGAGTGCTAGGAACCAAACCCAGGTCCTCTGCAAGAGCAGCCAGTCTATCCAGCCCTTCCACCTTATTTTTTGAGACAGGCTTTCCCACAGACTGGAGCTCCCCCACTGGTCAGTAAGCTCTGGGGAATCCTCCTGTTTAGGCTTCTCCAGTGCTGGAATTGCAGCATGCACTATTTTACCCAGGGGTGGTTTTTTTTGTTTGTTTTTTTGTTTTTTATTTTATTTTGTTTGTTTGTTTGGTTGGTTGGTTGGCTGGTTGGTTGGTTGGTTGGTTTTTTAGAGAAACAGGGTCTCCCTGTAGCCCCAGTTGGCCTGGAACTCCCTAGTAGTAGGCCAGGCTGGCCTTGAACTCAGAGATCTGCCTAGCTCTGCCTCCCAAGTGCTGGGCTTAAAGATATGTGCTACCACACCCAGCTTTACCCAGCTTTTTATGTGGGTGCTAGGGATCTGAACTCGGGTCCTCATCCTTACAGGGCAAGCACTTTGCCAATTGAGCCTTCTCCCCAGCCCCTTCACAGAATAGCCAGTCTTAGTCTTGTGCTGTTATGTTCTCAATGTAAGCTGACCTTGGCCTTGTGGATGGATGGCTAGACAAAGAAACCCAGAAAGAATATACAGGAAATCTCACCTTATAGATTGCCCCCTATCCACTGTATCCCCATTTACCCAGCCTCTGATCGATGGTTCACCTGGTCTCTCCCTCTAGGTGAGCCTAGCCACCCTTGACACAGAAGTCCCCTTGACTTGGCCCTGAGCCTCTCACGCCTGGGCCAGGCCAAGCATATTTTAGAATTGGGACTAGCTCTTGAGAGTCTGGAAGGCTGGGTCCGCTATGTCATCGCCCACGGTAACAAACATGGTTTCTTCCACATGAGTCACCCGGACAGCCTCAGCTCCCTACAGCTGGGCCATCGGAGACCCAGACCTGGGATGTACCAGCTAGAGGTGATAAGCATGGTAGGAGTTCCAGGCATTGGACCAGGGCCAGAAAGCTGAGCCTTGCGGCTGAACGTTCAACTGCAGCTGCTCTGAGTTGGAGAAGCCATTTGATGAGTCCCAAAGTCCTTGTGGAATGTGGAGATCCTGGAGCTGGATACAACTGCTTGGTCCCTGGTGGCAACAGCTGACCAGGTCGAACCTTAAAACTCAGGAAGAGTGGAACACTATACTATAACCTCAGAGGACCCCAGCCTGTGTCAGCCTGAGGAACCCCCAACACCTCAGCCTCTCCTGGAAACAGCTAGCAGTTTCATAGCCCATATCCAGGGTCAGCAGGAAGGGAGCCTGGCATTCACTGATTGTGGTCTTTCTCAGGCTTAAACTTCTGTACTGCACTGTGGCTTGCCCCAGGGGTGGGACAGTGGTGGGGCAGGAGAATAGGTGACTGGGGTGGGTGTGGGGTTCACCACTCAGAGAAACAAAAAGGTAGTCCTTGACCCCCACAACCTTGGCTACCATGTTCATTCCCTGGAACTGGAGCTGGGATTCTAAAGGCACTTTCCATCAAAAGCGGAGAAAGCAAAGTTATCGTGGGTTAAATCTGCCTGTATATGGACAAGTTCTCAAATAACTAGATGTTGCTTTTAACTCCTGCCTGGAGGAGTTAGAGGATCAGTCATCCTCTTCTGCCCTCTACAGGCACTGCATGCACATGGTACACTTACATACATGCATGCAAGTGAAACACTCATACATTTTAAGTAAAATAAAGTCTGTTTGTATTAGCATATGTTAATTACACACAATGAGCTTCATTATGACTTTTGCATATGTGCATGTGCTCAGATGTACTTGTGTGTCTGCATGTGGAGGCCAAAGAGCAACCTTGGGTAACATTCCTTGTGCTATCCACCTTGGGTTTTTTCCTTTTCTTTTTGCATGTGTATGTGGTGTGTGTGTGTGTGTGTGTGTGTGTGTGTTTATGTCTGGGGTGAGCATCCATGTATGTGTACATGTGTGCATGGGTGTGTGGATATTTGTGTGCTTGCATATGGAGTCTTGCTGTTGATGTCAGGTGTCTTCCTTGATCACTCTCTACTTTGAGGGAGGATCTCTCATTGAATCCTCTGCCTCCTGAGTGCTGGGATTATAGGTGGCTTCTATGCCTACCCCCAGTTTTTTAAAGATTGGCCTGGTCTCCCTGTAGGCCCTGCTGGCCTGGATTCGCTATGGAGACCAGACCTCAAACTCACAGAGATCTATCTGCTTCTGCATCCCCAGTTCTGGGATTAAAGGCAGGCACCACCACCATGCCTAGCTTGTTTTTGATTTTTTGAGACAGAGTCTCTCTGTAGCCCAGCTGGCCTGGAACACTCTATGCAGACCAGGCTGGCCTTGATCAAACTCACAGAGATCTACCTACATCTGCCTCCCAAGAGCTAGGATTAAAAGTGTGGCATACACGACCAAACCCATTCTGTCCATCTTTTTTTCAGAAATTTACTTTCACTTATTTACCCAGAAAAATGTAGTGGGAATTACCACTTCACCCAAAGACTTGATCCAATCACAGACTGTTGGGCATCTGTAAAAGAAGAGCCTCAAAGACAATTAAAATAATTGCTTAGATTTTAAAAATATTTTTATTTTATGTGTATGAGTGTATTGCCTGCATGTATGTGAATGCACACATGTCGTGCAATGCCAGCAGAGGTCAGAAGAAGGCTTCAGATTCCCCTGGAACTGGAGTTAAGGACGGTTCATAGCTGCCATGTGGGTGCTAAGACTCGAATCCCAGTCCTCTGTAAAAGCAGTCAGTGCTCTTAACCACTGAGCCATCTCTCCAGCCTCTAGATTATTTTTAATTAAGAATATTTTATTAGCATTGCTTGATTACATTACAACTTTGTATAGGTTGGAGAACTTGGAAAGGGAGTGGATGGCAAACTCACATCATAGGAACAGTATCAAATTTCACATTATTGTCAAAGCTTGGTAGTACAGTTTTGTCAGTAAATAATATTCAAAAATTATAGTAGACATAGAATTTATAATTTTATATAATTACACGTTTTTAGTTTGAGGATTATATCAATTTGGTTGTTATAGTACTTCCTTTTTTTTTTTTAAACTTCCCAGACTCTGATTTTTATCACTAGTTCAATTTGAGCAAAAGTGAAGGCACACTGGGGCTGTAGACGAGTAATAGAAAAATAATGGAAAACCTCTTGGTGCCTGGTAATGGGAGAGCTCCAACATCAAGGCCCAGATACCCAGGACCACGTGTGGAGTGAGGACCACAACTAGGCCTCAGGGGAGGTGGGAGGTCCATTCTAGAGAATCAGTCCTCCAAAGACCAGAATCTGCAAATAACAGAAGCCTCCCTGTCCCCATAAGAGCAAAGACTCTGCCATGCACAACTTGGGACCTCAGTGGAGGGAGTTGTGGGGAATGTAGTTAGAGAGAACTGAGACTGCTGTCTAGCCATCAGGAAGTCCTCCATGCTCTACTCCATCATCTCCACCATCAATCTACCACCAGTGGATGTGGAACTGTGGTTCATGGTAGGGGTCCAAAGCTTCAGGCTCATTAGGGGACCACCTTGCCAGAACAAAAGAGGGGGACCACAGCTCCTCTTCCATGGCGGGGGCGGGAGTGGCTAGAGAGAACCACAGCTCCAGGCTCATGGGAGGGGACCACAGCTCCAAGTTCACAGTGGGGGAAGAAGGACACGGACCACACACACCAGGCTCACAGGAGAGGACCACAGTTCCAGGTTCACAGGAGGGGACCTCAGCTCTAACTCACAGGAGGATACTATAACACTGGTTCACAGAAGGACTCCAAGTTCCTGGGAGGGGACCACAGTTCCAGCTCATAGGAGTACCCAGCTGTTTTGTGGGGTTGTTTTTTTGTTTTTTGTTTTGTTTTGTTTTGTTTTTTTCTTTTGGCATTTCTTTATTCAGTGGTGGTACATGAGTGTGACGGTCAAAGGACAATTTGCAGAAGTCAGAAGACTTTCTAACATTTGGGTTCCAGGGAATCCATCTCAGGCCCTCAGGCTTAGCAGTCAGCACCTTTACCTGCTGTCATCTCTCTGGCCCACCCGCCCAGCTTTTTACATGAGGTCTACGAATCTGAACTCTGATCCTCACACATCTGACGCAAGTGCTTTTATCCAGAGACACTTTCCTAGTCCTACCTTCTTCTGAGGCAGGGTTTCTCACTGACCTGGAGCTCACCCATTCAGCTAGACTCCCTGGCCACCAAGCCCCAGAGATCTCCTGTCTTTGCTTCCCCAGTACTAGGATTACAAGTATGTGTCACCACAGCCAGCCATTTAAAAAATTTATTTTTATTTCCTTTTCATTTGTGTGTATATGTGTGAGTTTCTGTGTGAATATATACCACATATATACAGGTGCCCAAGGAGGCCCAGAAGTGGGCATCAGAGGCCCTAGAGCTGAAGTTACAGGCAGTTGTGAGCCATCCAATGAGAAGAATTCTGGGAACCAAAGTTGGGTTTGCTACAAGTGCTCTTAACCACTGAGCCATCTTTCCAGCCCACACCCAGTTTTTTTCAGGGATTCTGGAGGTCTAACTCAGGTCCTCATGCTTGCCTGTGAAGTACTTTACCCACTGAGCCATCTCCCCTGCCCCCTCCTTTTACTTTACATTTTGACACAGGGTTTCACTAACTTACCCAGGCTGGTCTTGAACTCATTCTAGAGTTCAGGCATGCCTTGAACTTTCGATCCTCCTGCTTCAACCTCCTAAGTACACTTGGTTTCCACTCAGAACACTCTATGTTGTGATAACAAATGAGGCTATCAAAGACTGAAGTAAAGCTGAGCAGACCAACCTCTACCTGCAGACCTCTCTCTAATGCCTGCCCCTAGGGCTCTAAGGTTGTTCCAGGCCTGGTCTGTCTGAATTACCACTGGTCTCTAGGCAGCCCATTAAGGCTGGCAAAAGACTCCTGTGCATTGTTCAGATCCCCCACAGCCCTAGAATCCGGGCAGAGCCAGCTGGATTACCCTCATTTTATGGACAAAGAGGACCTGGACACAAAGGGATTAGGATTTAAATCAGGCCAGGTGTGGTGGCACATGGCTTTAATCCCAGCACTCAGGAGGCAGAGGTAGGCAAAGCTCTGTGAGATTGAGGCTAGCCTGAGCTACATAGTGAGTTCCAGGTCGGCTGGGGCTACAGGGAGACAAGAACAACAAAAGAAATCCACAAAAACAAAGGAAAAAGAGGGGCTGGAAGTAGGGGGTGGATCTGGGAGGAGTTAGAGGAGGAATGGAAGGCGATTATGATCAAAATATTGTGAATGCATGTATAAAATTCTCAAAGAATTAATAAAATGTTATTAAAAAGGAACAAGGGGCTGGAGAGATGGCTCAGCAGTTAGGAGCACTGGTTGCTCTTGTAGAAGATCCAGGGTCAGTTCCCAGGACCTATATGACAGCTAACAACAGTCTGTAACTCCAGTTACAAGAGATCTAATGGAATTTGAAGCCCTCTTCTGGCCTCCTAGAGCATTGCACACATGGGTGCACTTACAAACATGCAGCCAAACAAATGCATTTAAAAAATCTGGACTGAGGGCTGGGGCTGTAGCTCGGTGGTAGAGCACTTGCCTAGCATGCATGAAGCTCTAGGTTCAATCTCCAGCACTGCATAAACTGGGTATGGTGGCACACACCTGCAGTCTCAGCACTGAAAGAGGTAGAAGCAGAAGATCAGAAGTTGAACATCATTGTCAACTACACAGTGATTTTGAGGTACAGACACTGGTTACAGATATTGAAATATAGAGGCTCAGTCTCAAAAAGAAAAAAAAATGAATTTGAACTGAGGGTTTGCGGTGGCTTAGTGATAGAGCATTTACCTGCCATACACAAAACTCTGGGTTCCATCCCCAGCATCAAAACAAAACAAAAAAAATTTTTTAAAGCTATGTAGTTGAAGATCATCTTGAACTCCTGATCCTCCTGCCTCTGCTTCCCCAGTGCTGGGATGACAGGCTTGCACGACTACACCCAGTTCATGCAGTTTATGCGGATGGAATCTGGGGCTTTGCTAGACAA